CCTGGATAACCTCTCACTACTTTGGATTTTCCCTTCACTTGTTCCTCTTGTTGTCTGACGTTTAACCTTGACTTTGAAGCTTGTGTTCAGCTTTCTGTTTCTAAATTTTAAGTTGTTTTTTTTTAATGCACTGTCATGTTAATGTGTATTTTTTCTGTTTTTCCATTCTTGTTACTTGTTGTATGTGGAGTTTTTCTTTCCAAAGTTTCTCCCAAGGTTCTTTTCAAGGTCACCAAAAACCCCCCAAACAAACATTAAAACAGTTTTCCTGCTCTTGGTAATATTTGTTGGTAGTTTTGTTTTTGGAGTATGGGTTGGTTTTTTTCAGCATACATTTATATTTAGATAGTATTCAGTGCCAACTTCAAGGGTGCTTGAAAATTTAGAAGAATTTTCCGTGCAAATTTGAACTCCAGTGTTCTGCTATTTTATGAGAGTTTTATTGCTAAACAAATTGTTTACTAGAAAAACTAAATAGAAACTTCATCTATTTTGAAGAAAGCAGGACATGGATTTAATAGAAATGACCTGATGGAGGTAATATTAGTTTGGTTGTGACTTACAAAAAAAAAATCTTTGACTTCCATGTGTAAATCTTTAACCAAACTACACCCGCTCACAACATCCAGGTTTCTGCAGCGTAGTAGCTTCTTTCTGCTTTTTTTTTTTTTTTGTGCTTAGTTTATATACATTTTGTGTTTCGGTGCAAATAATGTGTTTGTCTTTCTGTATTGCATATGCCACACGTGATTCCTTTCAGCTAAGACAACCTACTTGAAAGGAGTCCTTCAGAGGAGCATACTTAAAAGCCTACAAGCTCTTTAGTTGTGTTTGTGTAGTTAATACTTCGCCTGACACTTTGGCATGTTTGCATGGAGTTATTTCCTATTGCATCTGTTGCTGTTCTAAAATCCAAGCTGTAATGAGGTAATTCAAGGTATTAATGCTGTGAAAGAGCCTTCATGTTCCAGGCTTTTTTGTTACTGTATTACTGATCTCCAAATTGAAAGCTCTAATGACCTTTAAAATAAAGCCCCAACATAGTAATCTTTGGGTAACACACTTTCATTAGCCATTTTAGATCAAGCTGGTTTAACTGTTTATGGTGTGGGACACATGTGGCTTTGTAGTTGATCAGTTCATGAAGGTTGCCTGACAGTAGTGGTGTGATCACCCTCCAGACAGTGCCTGTTGTGTGCAGGTTGGGATGTGGTTCCTTGTGGTCCTGTGTGAGGCTCTGGACAGAAGCGCTTAGAGACGTAAGTGGTGTAAGCTCTGGGAGAGCTTGTGGTTTGTGTTCCAAAGAGAGAGCTATTTACAAGTCTTAGCAGCTTGTTTATTTTTGAAACTAGGAATCGGGCATATAAAAGGCTTTGTGTATCTCATTCTTCTTGAGGCTTCTGTTGCTGTAGCTGAATTTTTGTTGCATGTGTCCAAGTGACTTAGTTCTGCCATCTCTGATGTCACTCGTTACTGACCAAAATGAGTTGTCTGTTGCACAGATAGTTCATTTGGAGAAACCTTTCCTCTGGAAGCAGTGGTGTTGGTCACCACGAAGGTTTCTGGCACAGCATGTTCCTGTACTTCAGTGGTTTGATATAAGTGCAGGAATAAGCTTTAAAACCTGCTCTGTGTGCTGCAGTCCAGCAATGCTTTGGCAGCAATAACAGCGTGTGGTGTTCCTCCCCCAGTGATTCATTCCCACCATGTGCTACCACTGACTTGGTTGTACCATCATATTTGATTGTGGTTTCATCCAATTTACAAAGTAGTGCAACTCCTCACTCTTCTTCAGTGTGTGGTCACTGCTGAGGGGGTGGTGTGCTACCTGGGTGGGAAGGGGAAACAGGGTTTGGAAACTCCTGGAAGTAGCTTTGCTGATGGAGAGAGTGTGGCAGTGCCTCAAAGCAGGCAGTGATCTGCCCTACTTGGGGAGCAGCAGCAGAGACTGTGATGGTGAGTTACCATTGCATCTTCAGGTAGATCAGCATTGTGGCATGAAAGTACATCTTCTGGCACTCTTTGCTCGCAGCACTTAGACCTTTTGTCTCCAGAAATACTATGTTGCACGCTGTCAGTAAGAATGTTCAAACTCTATTAATAACATAATGCCAAAAATGTTTAATTTGTTGTTTTAAGTAATTTAATACTAAAATAGGTTTCAACTTTGGAGTTTGTAAAGTGCAATAAATGCTTGTAAGGTTCTAATTTGGCACAAGTTTTTTTTTCTTTTATTCCCTGGTTCTTGGTGCAACTGTTATGGAATAACATATTCAGTCCTGCTGTTAGCTTCTGCTGCTCAGTGCTGTTCTTCATTGTCCTGATTACCTTTACAATATGCAGTTGCATACACGTCTCTCTTTACATTTGACTGGAGCCTTGAAACAGGATGACTAAATTTTTTGATATATGAAGAAACCCATATGTGTGCTGTTCTGTCAAAGCTCAAAAGTACTTGCCAGATTTCGTTTCAGGTGGTTCATGTTGTTATAGGAATCTAATTCTTCCATTTTCAAAAAGAATAAATTGCTTCTGCATCTTCCTCCTGCTTGTTTTCCTCCAAATTCTTCCCCTCCAGTGTCCTGCTGGGTTTCTGCACTGCTTCCCACGACTGATTGGTTTTCCAGTAGTGCTTGTGTACAGGCATTGATACTTTCTTAAGCACTGTGTGTTGTAGTGGCCACAGCCCATGTGGCTAGAGTTGCCTGTTGCAACTTTGTGCCAGAGCTTCAGGTGGTCTGTTTTCACTTAGTACAGAGGAATCTTGGGTGCTCCCAGTGGGAAGAGGGCAGGATGTGGATACAGGTAAAGACTTTGTCTAAAAGGACAAAGGTGAGACTATTGAGTTGTTGATTTGTTTGGATGGTCTCAAAGAGGAAGTTGGAGGGAGGGGGTTTCATGACTTATATAAGTGAAGTACTTCACTATTGTTCATTTTCCTATAGTCCCTTTGCTACTTTGATGCTGTTGGAGCTGTGATCTTTCTGGAATGCACAATCAGAGTAGTTTAGGTTGGAATGAGCCTTTAAAGGTCATCTAGTCTAACCCTCCTGCAATGAGCAGGGACATCTTCAACTAGATCAGTTTCCTCAGGGCTCCATCCAGCATGGCCTTGAACACTTCCAGGGTTGGGACATCTACCACCTCTCTGGGCAATCTATGCCAGTGTTTTGCTGCCCTCATTGTAAATAGCTTCTTCCTTATACCTAATCTAAATCAACCTTTTCTTAGTTTAAAACCACTACCCCTTGTCTATCCTAACAGGCCCTTCTAAAAGGTTCGTCCCACTATGTGTTTCTTGTGTTTGAAACAGTGAATATGCTGCTGGTTGCAGGTTGAGGATTACTGATAGTACCTCAAAGGCATTTGGGTGAGAAGGCAGATGCAAGTTTCTTCTTGTTCAGGCTAGCAGTGGAAGCTCCAACTTGCAACAAACGACTGCTATATTAAAGTAGCATGCAGTTCCATGCTATTTTCAAACCTCCTGCTGTTCATGTGATGCAAGTTTAAAATTAATTGTGTCCATTTGATTATCAAACCTACCGTTTGCGTATCAGGAAAGGGATAAAGGAAACCTCAAAGTGTCAAATATCTCCTGTGTAACAATTCCCCAGTCTGCCTAGGAAGACTGTTTGGCTGCTGATCTTCTGTAACATATATTTTTCTCATGCTCATTATTTAGAGGACACCAAGTAGCTCAAGCCTATTAAGTTCTGCTTGCTCTGTCGCTGATTAGTGAGAGTAATCTGTTCTTGGCTTCTTTAGGAAAAATTCTTTGTGTATTCTAATCTGGGTGCTGTGGTTAGTTATATTTCAAAGAACAGCTTTTCTCGAGCATGCCATTTTCTGAACTTTTTGCCTGGTGTCCTCAAAATGATGCAGTTTCTTGAAGTTTGATTGATCTGAGTGCAGTGAATTATGATAGTAAACAGTAGCAGTGCAGCCCAGCAATCAATGGTCTTGGTTTATTATATAACTTTTGGACCTTTCTTTGCGGCAAACTGTTTAGGCAGTAGACTTATGTATACCAGAAGTGTGAATCTGCGAGTGTGTGTGTGTGTACAGAGGTGTATGTGTGAACCTACAAATGACAGAGTATCTTGTTACTAGGTCTGAGGTCATGATCCCTTTCCACTTGCAGGTGCCTCTAAGGACTTGTCCTTTTGCCTGTGGGAAACAGTCTGGCAGTAAGGCAAGACTGTGGGAATTTGGCTAATTTGTACTTACATGGTTGGAATGCAGCCAGTTGTCACTTAGCTCTCAACTCATTGCATCTCTTACTATTGTCTTTCTAGCCCCTGAGCTCTTTAGAATGGCTTGAGACACTGAATGTGTCTAGCTGTGATAAGAAGTTGTTAGCTATATTAAAAACACTTGCTAAAGCTTATCTTCAAATTGACCATGATTTTCCCGCTTTGCTCTGCACTGGTGTGGCCTTACCTTGAATACTCTGTGCAGTTCTGGGCACCACAGTACAAAAAGGATACTAAGATATTGGAGAGCATCCAAAGGAGAATAACAAAGATGGTAAAGAGCCTTGTGGGGCCATATGAGGAGTGGCTGAGGTCACTTGGTCTGTTCAGCCTGGAGAAAAGGAGACTGAGGAGAGACCTCATCGCTGTATACAACTTCCTCACAAAGGGAAGTGGAGGGGCAACACTGATTTCCTCTCTGGCAACCAGTGACAGGACCTGAGGGAATGACCTGAAGTTGTGTCAGGGAAGGGTTAGGTTAGATATTCAGAAAAGGTTCTTCCCCCAGAGGGTGGTTGGGCACTGGAACAGCTCCCCAGGGCAGTGGTCATGGCTCCAAGCCTGACAGAGCTCAAGGAGCATTTGGACAATGCTCTCAGGAACATAATGAGATTGTTGGGGTGTGCTGTGCAGGGCCAAGAGTTGGACTTGATGATCCTTGTGGGTCCCTTCCAACTTTGAATATTCTGTGATTCTGTGAGTGTGCTTTTCCTAACTCTCTTTCTTGCTTTGTGCAGGCCTTTGTTCCTGGGTGAAGAATGCAGACTATAAAGTGCGTGGTGGTTGGAGATGGCGCTGTGGGCAAAACTTGTCTTCTCATCAGCTACACCACCAATGCCTTCCCAGAGGAGTACATCCCTACTGTGTTTGACAACTACAGTGCCCAAATGACTGTTGATGGCCGGACAGTTAGCCTGAACCTCTGGGACACTGCAGGCCAGGAGGAATACGACCGCCTACGCACGCTCTCGTATCCCCAAACTAACGTATTCATCATCTGTTTCTCCATTGGTAGTCCCTCTTCCTATGCAAATGTGAGGCACAAATGGCATCCTGAAGTTTCTCACCACTGTCCAAATGTTCCCATTCTTTTAGTGGGCACGAAGAGAGACTTGAGAAATGACCTGGAAACAGTTAAAAAGTTGAAAGAGCAAAGCTTGGCTCCCACTACCCCTCAGCAGGGGACTTCACTGGCTAAACAAATTGGAGCAGTCAAATATTTGGAGTGCTCAGCATTGAATCAGGAGGGTGTTCGGGAGGTGTTCGCTGAAGCTGTCCGTGCAGTTCTGTATCCTGTGACAAAGAAGAACACAAGAAAATGTGTCTTATTGTAGTTGCCTTTGGGTGATGGATGTTCCAGGTTGACTAGGATCTTGGAGGGCTTTTTAATGAGTTAAATTGAAGATTTGCATCTTGCACTAACAGCTCTAAGCAGAAATGGTTTATACAATGAATATTCTTGCAGTCTTACTGCTTCAGGGAAACTGAAACAGAACAGTCTTTTTTTTCCAACTGAGAGGTCAAATATCTACTTTTTTTCTAAAGTTCCAGTCTCCAGCTTCTCCAGGGATCACTTGGCTTCTGTCCTTATTTTAGTGGAGGAAAATAAAAGAAGGGACTTCTTTGAAGCCACTTCTTTACTAGATACCCATCAGTTACTAGATTTGCTGAAAAGCACAAGTTCTGATAGCTGCTTTAAGTGTAGCTGCTGCTTTTCCTATCCTTTATTTACCAATTGAATTTGTTTTACAGGCAGAAGTCTGACTGTCCAGTTGTTTTAATTTGCCAATTTAAAGCTTGAAAATAATTTGTTTACTTGCAAATGTGCCTGAAATATTACTGAGATTCACCTTATGGTGAACTGTGATGTGAAAAGTTAGTATAAGGCATGGTTAATGCAATGAGCAAGACCCAGGGAACATCTGTAATGATTTTATTAATAGAAGCAGGAGGTGATTTCTCCTGATGTAAGGAATGAATCACTCCAGTGTGTGATTTTCATAGTTTTGAGTTGGAGAAGTGGAAGAGTAGTTTAGATGCGAGTCTTCCATAATCTTCTAAACTGAATTTTTACTTCACTGTCCAAAGAGACTTTGCACCCTGAGAATAAAGCTAACAGTTCCCTTCCTGGGCTGACTGAGGTAGGTGGGATGACACTTCTTAAAATGAGATTTTCAGTGTAATCCCTTTGATGAATTCCAGAGGCTTGAGGGCAGCCTGTTTGCTCTTGAGAAACCATTGCTTCACTTCTTAATGTTCTTGGGGCCTCCACCTGAGATTTTTATGGCAAATTGCTTTTGTTGTATTTTTTTTTTTTTTACAGAAAAGGTGGAGGCTCCATTTACAGGAAGCAGGAACCTGTGCTCCTTCCTCTTTTCAGTTCAATCTGTAGTGGTTAGCCACTGGATAGGATTACCTGGGCAGTTTTCTCCTCTCCACTGGATGCTCAGTTTTTATAAACTCTTCTAACTGAAGTTCTATTTACATACTTTTTCACTTTCTTTAGCAGCTCTAGTAAGTGGCAGCTGGCTTTCATTTTCAGGATGTGCACTGTTCTTTCTGTGTGGTTCCGGGACCAGCTGAGGAGTGAGAGCATGAAACCTTCCTTAGACTTAAGGCCTTCCAGCTCCATGGCATGAAAGCAGCATGCTTCAAAGATACTTTGTGTGAAACCACTGGTGCTGGACTGGGCTTTGTTGTCTGAAGTTGACAGTGCTGTCTTTGTCTGGCTGCAGCCTCAATTGGTCATTCAGAACTTGCTTTCTTGTGATTCCCACACATGCAAAACTGCACTGGTGTATACCCTGGTCAGAAAAAAAGAAGCCTCATTTTAGCAAGATAACAGAAAATACATCAACAAGGTTATTAGAGATCTTGTGTTAATTTGAGCTTGCTTTATCTGATGCTGGCAAAAAATATCAGGTATATAGAAACGTTTGTATTTGTGCCCTAATTCCACTATTTGAAGAGGATGTGCCTTTCTTCAGCTGGTGTAACCGATGCTGGCACTAACTGCAGTTGTTGTGTATCCGAGATATGCTTATTCTGGTACTGCTTTAGCCAACTGCAACCCATGGATTACGAATTGCAGTTAATCCAAATACTGGTACCTGTGGTTAGTGAACCAACACCGAGTCCCAAACGTTGCCTGAGCGCAGGCAGTACCAAAAGCACCTCTTGTGCAGGCTGTCTGCAGAAGCTTACAGACTCTGCACGTTTTTTTTTCACCAAGTGCCATTGCCTGGAGTGTCTTTGCGTCTTTTGCACTTGTAGAGGAAGTGCTGTTCCACGTGTGGTTCCTGCTGCAGTGCCCTGAAGGCTGTGAGGGTGTAGAGTATTCAGTGAGATAACCTCTACTTACCACGTTCTGCCTTTACTTTAGTACTAGGCCTTTAGTGTGGGCTTGACTTGCAGGCAGCAATTAATTCTGTGCCTTGTAATTCAAGATAATTTTCTGTAGGTAAATTTCAGTAACTGAGTAAATAGACTTTATGATGTTTAAAACTTATTTATTTAAGCCAGTGCACATGGTTTGTTTTAATGCTGGTCAGTCCTAAATCAGCTGTCTAGTTACCCTGGTGCAAGCCCATAACCTTTGCTTTGTTCAGAGATGTACTTTAAATAGTCTGTGATACGTTTGAACTAGTCTTAAGAGGTGCCTGTTCTTGAAATTAAAAGTCCACTTTTTTTTTTTGCTACGTATATTTGCAGTTTTGTACTGAAGCTACTACTGTTTTAAAAAGGTTTTACTTTTTTACATACTGAAATCTTTTAGTTCTGTGTCTTTCATGGTTAATTCCTAACTGGATTACAAGAATTTAGTGGAGAAGAAATCTTGTGAGCAAGTATTATTGCACAGCCCCTGTCCCCACCTTTCTGTAGGCTCACAAACAGCCATCCTGGTGTGAACTGGAAGAGTTTGGTGAGATAAAATCCAACTGCTTGATCAATTTATTTGAATTGCTTAAATTTCTGATTGCATTATGCCAGAACACTTTATCCCCATTTAGATTACTTAATAAATGGATTGCACAACAGTACTGAGGAGAATAACATGAAAGTGATGAAAATGAGCAGAGAGTGAACTTTGAACACCGCCAAAGGCTTTTTACTTGCTTTGGAATACTTGGTTATTTAGGTTCTTTGTATTTCTGTCACTTTCTGCTGGGAGTAGATGTCCTGGCTGACAGCTGCTTTCCTTCAGCCTCTACTTTTCATGAGGATGGGCTTCAGGAGTGCAGGAATCCAGTGAGCTTTTCCATTCAGTGGGTATTTGCTCCCTGTGATCCTCCTTCCTTTTTTGTCCCCTTGCAATTCTTGGTGCATTTTATTGTAAGTAGTCCAGTGCTTCAGTCTACAATCCATTCAATTCCTGCCATGTGTTTTATTTTTCTCCTGTGGGCAATTGACAGATACAGACTTGCCATAATCCCATGGCTGGATGGTGCCTTGTTTTGGGAGATCAGAAAACCTGGTTTCCTGATCTGTTCAGGATCCTTCAGTTTGTTAGTTTGAACAGAAACTCAGTTTGTATGTCTTAATTCACAGAAGAGACTCTTTGTGAAGAGACTGGTTTTAATCTTTCAGTTTGTGAATGATTTCTGAAATATTTGGGGTTTTCTAAACATAGCTGAAGCCATCCACAGAGAGCCGAGCAGCTTGGGAATTCTGCCTCCAAAGGATGTTACGAGGTGTGCTTAGATGTGGAACTGCTTTCTTCAGTTTACAGCTGTAGCTATTTCTATGAAATTTGAACTAGAAGAGCCTCACTGTGCTTTGTCTCCGAGGGCTAAACCTCACTGTGTAGAAACCTTGGTGCTGCTTGGGCTGACCCCGAGAAGCAGATGGATCTCACGGGGTCCCAACCCCTGGGTGGGCAGCAAGGACTACCCATCACCAGCGGGAGCCCAAGACTCTCAAGTGTGGTACTGATACATACACTGGCAACTTGATTTTATACTATAAAAATGATTTGTATTACCGCTAACACTTTTAAAGGATTTTTTTCCTTTTTTTAAATTATGCATAATGATGTTGTAATAAACCTTTCCTCACCTCTCTCGCATTCACTCGCCCTGCTGTTCGTACCGCAAGCTGTGCTAAGGGGTATCTCTTTCCTGTGGAAAGCCGGATCGCGCTTCCTAAAGGCAATAAAAGCAATTCTTGGCGAACGTTGGAGCCTTCCCTGCGCTTCCTTGGGGCGCGGGGGCGCTGTCGGCGGGAGGCTGGGCCGGCCCTCCCCTTCCCTTCCGCGGCCTCTTCGCTTCCGCGGCCTCCTCCCTCCCG